AGAATAATAGTTTCATATTTTTCACAAAACCCAAGCCAAATTGTTAGAAAATTCCCCATAAAAATAGCTAATAAAAATTTTATAAATCATCAAGGATTGTAACAGAAAATAGTCAGGGATTGGCATAACTATATTTAATATTAAGTCGAATGGAAACAAAGACAGGAAGTTACATTTCTTAAATTTTGGGTCATGCGCTAATTCCCCATACTTTCACTTTTTGTCAAAAATGGAAACAAAACAACCATAATCAAACTTAGGTTTGATCTGCTGATATGCAATACTCTGTAAGACTATGGAACTTTCTTTTTCTTAAAAAAAAATTGAAACCAGCCCTAGATATCTAGATCTATTTTTAGATTTTACATCTAGAACTAGATCTAATTCTCCTGGCTTTTTCTAATTTAAATCTAAACTTAGACTAAAAGCATGCAGACAAATTGACAGCATTAAAACATTGAAACTTTATAATAGTAATGAAACATTAAAATAGCAGTGAAACATCCAGACTTTATTATAGCATTAAAAAATTAAAACTTTATAATAGCAGTAAAACAAATTAACTTCTTAATAGCAGTAAAACATTCAAACTTATATAATAAAAACTTTCATAGACTAGCAATCAAATCACAATTTTCATAAAATCATCTAAATATATATTTCAATATGTTTAAATATTAGTAACTTAACACGTTGACATCAGATATTTATTGTATTTGCTAATTAAATGCCAATTAATTTCTAGTGGCACAGAACTCCTAGTACGCAGGAAACAGATGGTTTTCAAGTAAAACGTCCTGGAGATCAAAATGTTAAATGTAAAGTGCTACTGATGCTAGACTATCAGGTATGTAGGGCATCATTGAAACATGTAAAGTGCTACCTTAAATCTTAGTATCATTACTATGTTATGAAAAGCTGTTGGGTACTATACTAGGAGTAAAAATTTACTAGAGGCTGTTTTTTTTTTAATTTTGTCTAGCCAATGCAGTTCAAGCTTGACCATCGCCTGGCTAGGTTGCTTGGAATCCACACCCAGACCAGGCCATTCATTGTGAATGCCTTGTGGCAGTACATCAAAACTCATAAACTGCAAGACTCCAGTGAGAGGGAGTACATTAACTGTGACAAATATTTTGAACAGGCAAGTAATGACATTAAATGTAATGACATCTTTTCAAATAATTTCTCACACTTTTGTTTTCATTACTAAGCAACAGTAGATGGTAGTCAATGGCTGTCAGGCTAATAGTCCCATGATCAATTCTAATAAGACTTATCAGGCATTTGACCTGAAATCTGGGCATTATAAAGACACCTGGTCTAAGCAAACGAATTATTGTACACCTGCACTATTAATACATTATTTTTGGTGTATGCTTGTATTTTTTAAATTATAAAATCTCTGGCTATTTTTGTACAATGCCAAGGAATTGAAAAAGCTTATCTCAAAAATTGTATTTTTTATGTGATCTTTTTGATCACAACTAGTATATCTAATATTGTTTAATACAACATTTTGAAAAAGCATATATTTTGGCTTTATGGGCTAATAAGACCAATTTAATTCATTTTAACTCTTGCCTTCAAAAGGAACATTGCTATTTGTGATTTTTTTTCAATCATGCTGCTAGTAAATTAACTAAAAAGTTCTTTGTTGTATTATATATAGATATAACTTTATCATCATCATACACTGCATATTTCAGATATTTGAATGCAAGCGTATGAAGTTCTCTGACATCCCTTCAAAGCTACAGCCACTGCTAATGCCCCCTGATCCCATTATTATACATCATGTTGTGACGTGAGTGCTACTGTGTTTTTATTGATATTTTTCGACTTGCCATAATTGCAAGTTTTTGTCTATAAGACTACTACTTTTCAACTACTAAGATGTAATAATAAGTCGAATTTAAACAGGCAGAAAACTACATTTCTTAAATTATTTATACTAGCAGTAAATCATTCAAACTTAATAATAGCAGTGAAAATTAAAATCAGTGCTGAAAAGAGCAAAATGCTAGTTTGTGGTGGGGTTTGAAAGAGATGTTGTGTACTGTTGAATGGAGAATAAAAAGAAAAGAGATAAAAACCCATTTAAGCGTGGCATCCAATGCGATGATCATACTGTGGAAAAGTTGGAAGAGTAACATTAGCTTTCCAGTAATATAAAAACTGTATTCTTTTGCTAGTGGTCTCTATACTCCTATATGGTTGTGAAAGCTGGACACTGAACACTTAGGCTGAAAGAAGAATCCAAGCCTTTAAGAGTAAATGCTACAGAGAAATGCGGGTTATCAGATATCAGGAAAAGAAGACAAACGAGTTTGTATTGTTACATACCAACACTTTGGCTGGCAAAAAGGAAGAACTCCTCATTACTGCGAAGAGACAAAAGCTGAGCTGGTTTGGTCGTATTGAAAGACATAGTGCTCGAAACATTCCACAACATTTGCTAGATGACACCTGATGGCCCTGGTAGTTCTATTCATGACTTTAGCGCCATTCAGCCGCAACTAGGCTTCACATGCTGGGTGGTGGACAGAGATTGTTGTTTCACTAGATACAAACCCTGGCTAACGCTCACCTGGTTAAGCCATGAGTCGAGACATTTTGCCGGGATGTGGCCATTGCTGCATACTGACAACTGCTTGGAGCCACAGGTGAGAGCTGAGCTCTGAGTGGAGACCAAGCTCAATAAGCTGCTCAAGGAGCCTGACTGCCCTACAGAACCCCATACACTGGTCATCCACTGCACCCCAAACCAGCTCCGATTGTATGGATCTGCCACTAGATTTAGCTTGCAAGGGGTGAAAAAGTGAGGCTGATGCAGTGCAAATTTCCTTTATTTTAATAAATTTTCATTTCACATGGCACATTCTCATCTCCCATGTTCATTAATTAAAAGTCTGATGATAGGCAAGTGGCAAAGTGGCAGGTGAAGAAAAACCGGGAGCCATAGTTACAAACCTGCTCAAGATGGCATAAACCAAAAGGAACTCTGTTGCTTGCATCCATGCTACAATTGTTAAACAGCTTAGTACTGAAATTCTGACAATTTGATTAAAAAAATACTTTATTTAAAACCATTGAAATAATCTAATGTGAATTCACTTTCATATTTTCTAGAGTTGAGGGCCCTGATGCCAAGAAGACAGCCTGCTACGATATTGATGTTGATATTGTAAGTTGCAGTTTTGTTTTTTTATCAGTTATATAAACTCATTTTTCTTTGTTGGCTTTAAAGTTGATTTTTTTTTATTGATTTTTTTACACCTACTCTTATGGAGATGGGTTTTTTTTTTTAGTGTATCGTCATGTAAAATTTGTACTCTGAATTAAACAATCACGTGAAATTTTTGTTTTGCAATGTTCTACAATCTAATTGTATAGAGACTGTGCATTAATGGTGGGGAGAGCTGGGTAAATGTGAAATATTTTGTTTTGGACTATTGTTGTTTTTTTGTAAAGCTTTTATAATTTTGTAATCAAATCATCCATTTTTTTTTTCATCTATTGTTTGGATCTATTAAGGATGACAGCTTAAAGCATCAGATGAACAATTTTGTTATGTCCACACAGAATCAAGCAGAAATCACTGCACTTGATTCTAAGGTTGGTGAAGTTTTCCTTATTTTAAATGATTTTGGACATAATTATTCCAAAAAATGTCTTGCATGGCTTTGACACATATGTTTTTGTTACAGATTCATGAAACTGTTGAAAACATCAACTTGTTGAAGACTCAAAGGGAATTCTTTTTAGGTTTTGCTAAAGACCCTCAAGAATTTATTAGCAACTTTTTGATTTCTCAGACAAGAGATCTCAAGGTAAAATTTACTAACATTTTATCATTACATAACTTTAGGCTGTAATATGTCATTGTTACATATGCACCATGTATATCAAAGATGTTTGTTTTATAACAATAAAATGTGCACAAAATGATCCAATTAAATCTTTCCCTCTGACCTGGGTCTTGTAAAGTAAAACACTTTGTGATAGTAACTTGTAATTAATATTCATGTCATGAACTAAACTAGAATAGAATTATCAGCATTTAAACAGAATATTGTCATACAATCGTTTAGACAGTGTAACAGTAGGTTTAGTATTTGTAACACTATGTTTGGGGCTTTAACATAACTTTCTTTTACACTACTGTTTCAATGTAACCAAGTATGATTGCTTCCCTTGGTATGCAGTGATGTCTAGAAATGTTTCTGTAAAGATGATTGTTTGAGAACACTGCTGAATAAAAGCTTGTCAGATGATTTATTTTTTGGTAAGACTGTGTAAAAGCTACATTTATTCCTATTTCCTGCTGATTCCAGACCATGACAGATGTGGTTGGTAATCCTGAAGAGGAAAGAAGAGCTGAATATTTCTATGAGCCATGGACAGTAGAAGGTGTCAATCGATATTTCTATTCTCTGGTAAACCAAATTTATTTCTTCTGTGTAGTCATTAACTTTATGTTACAGAATAACTTAATTCTTAAAGAACTTGCAGGTGGGGCTATGTAAGAATCTTGTGCCCTTTATAAAAAGTTGTTTTTTTTCAGAAGGGTGAAACAAAATAAACCTATTTAAAACTTACTATTTGTTTATTTACTTGTACAGTAAAGACATTGTTAAAAGTTTCAGCCTTTTTTTTAAGTGAAATAGATACATTTTTGTAGGTTTAGGAATATTTCTTATGGTCTCGACATGGTAATTATTTCCTCTCTTAAACCCTAGTACATGGATAAATGGTCAGTTTTATTGACCACTTGACTCGGTAGGTTCTAAGTTTGTGTCACTTGGTATAATATTGTTCCTTGCATATCACAACAAGATTGCTCTTATATTACAGGTTCAGCAAAGAAGACTAGAGTTGGAACAAGCTCTAATGATGAGAAATGGTGGCATGTAATTTTGTTTGTCTCTGTACCTTAATGGCATTGCCTAGATATGTTATCACCAAACTTGTCTTGTACATACTGTGTGGTTTGTCTTTTTTTTTTTTTTTTTTTTTTTTTTTTTAATATAGCATTGAAGTAATGATCATCAAAAATAAATAAATGTAAATATATGTTGTAGACCAAAATGTTCAATGTGTTCATTTATGTTTATAGGATTTTCTAGATGTAGTCATGTACAATGTGGCATCAAGACCATTAAAAGATCTGAAAAAAACAACAACATTTGTTGTTCTTATTGTTTATTGCAGTTTCATTTTCCTAATGCCAACTCTTCAATTCAAAGCCTGTATTTTAAAGATCCTTCTTATGTCATCATCTACTTTTCTGTTAGGTCTTTAGTACTCTCTTGGCAGGTGGTGAAGAGTTACCTCCATATAAGTCTCCATTGTGAATAAGTTCATTTATGACCTAAATTTGACTTCTTGTCACACTTTGTTACCAAACTGCTGTAAAAAAAAATCAAAGTGTCTTTTCCAATGCTTCAGATTGAGCCATATCATCAAGCTGTCAATGTTTTTGTTACAGTAATGAACATTTAGTAATAAGTCTCTTGACTTGTTTGTGTAGATTTTCAAAGCAATGTTATTAGATTTTGTTTGTTTTTCCGTTGGCCTATTAATGAAGACATTGGACACTGAGAAAAACTCTGTTACTTAGTAGGCTTCAACATTTTTTTTTTTTTTTTTAATTCTGTATTTCAGTTTATTGTTTCCTCAGAAATCTTTGTAGACCAAATCCATTTGTATGCTTTTTTGAGTTTAGGCACATCGGCACAATTTAGGCCATGTCATGCCTCTTCTACTTGATGTCCTCCATATATTGTTATTTTTTATGTCTCTGGTTAAAAAAGAAACCTTCACTTGAACACGTTTCAATTTTACTGTTAAATATATGACTCCTTCTGAAGAGTTTAATACGATGAATTAAAAAATATATTTCTCTAGCCTTCAACGCCCGTGTATGTGTATCTTGTACGTGTATCTTGTACTTGTATCTTGTGCGTGTATCTTGTACGTGTATCTTGTGCGTGTATCTTGTGCGTGTATCTTGTACTTGTATCTTGTGCGTGTATCTGGTACATGTATCTTGTACTTGTATCTTGTGCATGTATCTTGTACGTGTATCTTGTGCATGTATCTTGTACGTGTATCTTGTATCGGGATCAAATCAAGCTGTTCTCTTATTCTTGGTTTTGCCTCGTCACCAAATTAACATTTCAGTTTCAAATGAGATGCAGACAAAAATGTTCTTGTTGCTGTTGCAATCTAGACTCGGAACCCATAACTCTAGTTGCTGTTGGCAGTTTATCCCTTGATCACTACCTAACTTGTAGGAATAAAGTAATCCGATTCAGTGCAGCGTAATATGTGCTGCATTTTTTGTGATTTTCCCCTGTATTTGAAGGAATTTAAAAATCGGCATTGAGGCTGCAATATACGCCTTAGCATTTAGGCTGCAAGATACCTACCTAACATGTAGGAATAAAGTAATCCGATTCAGTGCAGCGTAATATGTGCTGCATTTTTTGTGATTTCCCCCTGTATTTGAAGGAATTTAAAAATCGGCATTGAGGCTGCAATATACGCCGTAACGTAACGAGCAATTACACACACACACAAACTTATTGAGCTCACTGTGCCAATTTTTTTTCCACTTCAAACCAAAGACATTTTATTGTCCTGTAAAACAATTTGTGTCTCCCTTATGACACAAAGTAAGCATTATCTTCCCCTAAGGCCATTTGCGTGTGCGCCATGTTGTTAACAAGGAAGCCATCAGGTTTCTTAACAAAACACATCAGTTGGGGATTACCATTGCTATGGGCTGCACAGAAGAAAAAAAAAGCAACATGGGTGGGAGGCACATAGAGATTGAAATAGATCAATGAACAACGTTGAGTGTAAGAGGCAGATAGGAATATGTAGATACAGTTCTAGGATTGTGAGATAGACAAGGCTTGGGCTATGAAGCTAGAGGTTATAGGAGAGACAAAGATTGGAATCTACAGTTTCAGCAGGGATAAGGTCATTCTATTATTTACCTTTGTAGGTCTACTGGTCAACCTTTTTATTAAAAAAAAAAGTAAAGTTCCCTTTTCAGACCATTTAAATGATGTAAAGGGTCATCCATTTCCGTGGCTCACGGTTAACGACCAACCACCTTTACTTTTCAGGTAACCATTAGAAATGGGTGGACAGAGGCACCCTAAAAAAAATGAAGCTCCCAGTCTTCCTATTCGGAAGCCAAAGATTTTATCCCTCTGTCACCGCGCCACCAAAGTAGACTTGCATTTTAATCTGTTTCAAATGTAGACTATATAAAAAGTTCATTCATTGAAATGTTTATTCCTAGAATTTCATTCGAATAAATCATTTAAACGAGCCTAGGAAGAAATAATTATTTTATTTCATTAAAACATTTTTTGATGTGCCTTCTGACAATTAGGAATGATGCATACACGTTTTGATTAGCTCCCCTGAATGGGTCCACGACAATTCGTTTACTGGGATGGCTGCCTGGTCGTGCGGTTTGCGAACTGGACTGTCGTTCGGATCTATCGACGGTCGAGGGTTCAAACCCTGCCCGCTCCCATCCCCCGTCGTCCTGCGGGAGGTTTGGACTAGGAAGTAAACTATCTTCAACTCTGAAGGAACATCCGAAACGTAAAAAATTTTACAAACAAACTGACATTTCGTTCACCGACAAATCGTTCACGCGACAATTCGTTGACCCGCCATATCGCTCACCGACAACTTGTTCACCGACAGTTGGTTCACGACAAATCGTTCACACGACAAATTGTTCAATGACAATTCATTCACCGGCACTGGGTAGTAACATATTGTTACTTGTTACTATTATATATTCTAGTCGCGTGTTTATTTTGTTTACATTAAAACTTTAATACGATGAGATTCCACCATTCTATAAAAATACTATTTTAGATTATACTAGTCTATTTGTAGGCCTATTACATCTATCCATACAAACACACTCCGTAACATACAGATTAATCGCTTTGTGCACAAAATTATCTCATGGGACCATAAAACTGCCTGGTCGTGCGGATTGCGCGCTGGTCTGTCGTTCAGATTGAATGATGGTCCCGGGTTCAAACCCTACCCGCTCCCATCCCCCGTCGTCCTGCGGGAGGTTTGGACTAGGAAGTAATTATCTTCAGCTCTGAAGAAACATCCGAAACATGTAAAACATTTTACAAACAAACATTTTACAACTGTTCCCAAATACTAGATACTGTGTTTTACTAGTTCTAGTCAACTGCTTCCCCCAACAACATGAATACACCACTTCTGTGTCCCCGTGGGGGCTGTTAACTACTCAACCACACCAAAAAAAAGCATATTAAGTACTTTATTCAAACATACCCTGCCCTATCTAGATCTAGCTCTATCGCCCAAGCACTCAATCCCTTGGGAGTATCAGTAAGTCATGAGCTGCTGGAAGCAGGAAGGCGTGGGTGGATAGAGAGATGAGAGGGACAAGGGAAGAGGAAATTGATGGACAAACTGAGATAAGAGGAGATCAGAAAATCTAATGTGTCAATTGGGATAGCGAATATTAGCGTTTTAAGTGAACTATTGATATTTGGGACGGGAGTGTTGACCTTTGTAAATTGTTGGTTTAATACAACTGTTAATAGGTTAAAAGGAAATAATAAGATTGCATAAATAGCTACTAGCCCTTCATGTGTCATACTGCTGATTTAATTTTCGTCCGTAAGGGAATGCTTTGAATGTTAGGTCAACATTTAGAATACAAGATACTATTTTTAGATTATTTTTATATTTTAAGTTCTACAAATATTTCTCAACAATGTTTCACCAAATTATTCAGTTTCTTTCTTTACATTTATGTTTATTAGATATTGTCTAATTGCTCTAATTGAATTTGTATTTTTTTAAATTAGTTTCGAAGATGGTTTAAAAGAATAGAAGGGAAAATAATATATTTTTTTATTGAATTTCGATAATTGTCAGAAAAAAAGCATCATTATCCTTTATCTACAATTAGAATTAGACTAGTTCAGAAATATTGCTCATTTTGGTAGGCTTTATATAACTGTCACGTACGCTTTGTCTATATTTAGCCCAAGGTCTGCCGGCGAGTTTTCAGCTAGCTCGGGAAATTCCAAGCATGCAGCAACTTTCTGTTTTGGAATAAATGTGATTGGTTAGAAATATTAATTATTGTACGATAATCTGTATTTTATTGGTCAATTGATTAACCAAGCGACAAGAAGAGATTAGTCACTTGGCAAACGCCCAAAGGTCTAAAAGATTCTAGATATTACCGCCAGTCTCGTGTTGGAACTCAAAGAAATATGGCATGATCATATTATTGTGTAGATCATTTAATTTAGTAGAAATATATTTCATGTTTTATTCAATCACAGTATATCATTGTAACTATTGTGAATAGCTTTTTCAAGTTCTGAATTAATGTATTTGTCGAAGAGAAGTTTCTTCATTGATTATAATAATAACATACTTAGATCGTCTTATCAATGGCAACTTTTAGATGATCATCTTATCAACTAGCAACTTCTAAATGATCATCCTATCAACTGATGATTTCTAAATCCCCGGCAAGTTCATATTCAACGTGACATCTAGCTAGCACATCATAGATCGTGACAATAACCTTTATATCCAGCTTTATAACGCCCCTGACACTCACACACTCATTCATACTTTTCAGCCGTAAATCCTAGTATCACTTTCTACTATTCCCCATCCTTACTCCCGCCCACAACAAAAAAAGTTAGTCCTATGTACAATATACTCTCAGTTCCTTTTCGCCTTACACACTTAATTATTTCAATGAGAACACTTATTTTTTTAAAAAGCATTTTTAATGGATCGACCCTCCCCATATGACTCAAGGAAGACTTCAACTGAATACCCCCCCACCAACTTTTTTTTTTTTACACAATATTAATCTCTTTTTATCTATTGTTAGCGTTACTTCGACAACTCCCATCTCCCACATTTGATAATCCAGCAAATCCAGCAGGTCTGGGAATAATCTTTCACATTCATTCTGACAATTCTGTGAGTTCTAAAGTCTAGTCGTATGTCTAGAAGAAAAATCCCTTACACGCGCGAAATCATACTTAAAAAAAAAAAAAGAAATAGATTTACGCTATCATTTTGTATGCTAAGTAGATATTGTTAAACTGTGTCTAGTAATTGGAAATGAAAATTCAATAAGACGTAACGAAAATTAAACATTGACTTTTAAAAAAGAAATTATTCGGAAGTCTTGATTTTTGTATAATTTAAACTTTATATATAGAATTCTTTGCCTGCAACAGATGTGGGAAAATATGCAGGTCGCCACAGGGTTTGCATAGTCAAAACATTGCACTCATCCTTAATCTTCAGAATCGAAGACATAGCCATTATTATCATTTAATGCTGCCTTTGTGGAAATTACCAAAATGGAACTACAAAAAGGTTTATTGCTTGCGTTTTTGTTTTTGTTTTGTTACGAATTGCGGAATTCAGGCTGCGAAACGGTCAAAACCGCGTTTTAGTAGACACCTAAGTGATAAAAGGAACACATGTTTACGAAAAATTCATACGAATACTTTTGATAGTTAAAGAGATTTCTTGATCAATCAGT